CCTAATATTTGTTTTGTGCTTTTATGATTTCTCAGAAGCGTTTGCTAAATTAATCCTTGTAGTAAGATGTGAATGTGAATATGATCCAGGTGATGTGGTCTATAGTTGGTCGTTTCTGTCCGACTGTTTGGAATAATCTTAGTCCAATTATGCTCTTGAATGCAGCACACATGAGTGGATCAAATGGATCCATCATAATATTCTTTAATTAAAACTCATTCAAGTAATATCTTCTTGTGCACAGTAGGCCTCCTGAAAGCATAAATGATCTCTGAGGTTGAGAACGTGAAATAAATCATCCATGTGTATAAAACACTTTACATGTGTTCAGACTGAGGTCCCCTGATTCTTCAATCTTTTGCTCAGGATAAATCTGGTTGATCAGTCTATACAAAGACTTTAATTTCTTTGAAAATTGAAAGTGAAAGATGTAAACCTTCTTTCTGCCGTTACTCATGATGTCTTAATCGTCTAAATGTAATTGGTTGCACTTGACCCCCCAGTTTGTATAAAACATTCTCTACATGGTGACCAACCGGAGACCAACTGAAGTACTGGATAAAACGACCAACATCACAATAACAACTTCTCCCTTTTTTCTGCCGTTCCATTCGAACCAGTCATGCTTACAGCCCCTTTGTCCACCTACCATCACATGTGGTGTGATTCAAAGAACCTAAAATACTTTTTTTCCCCTTCCAGTTCATCCCCAGGTCTTTTCAGAAAATCGACATCATGGCAACCAAAACAGCTGGTGAGTCCACTCACATGTTATTGATCAGCAGTGAGGATTTTGCACTCACACCGTCCACAGAGAATAGATTTAGAGAGTAACTGTAACATCTGTTCAGGTATTGGAAGTGAAAGCACACAACAAACAGGTGCAGCAGCAGGGTGGAGCAGGATCCAGCTGCCATGATCACACTGTGCTGCTGGTTTTAGGAGCAATGTTGGCTGATAAACATATCCAACATGCTCAGTACATGTCTCCCTGTTCTGCCAATATAGTTACTCGTTCATTTCCAGTCGCTTCACTTGCTGAAAGAATGAATGTAAATAAAAAATAAATAACTGAAAGCTGCTTGAAGGCACCTTAAATAGCTCCCTGATCTACCAGGCAATCAGGAACAGGTGGATTATCACAGGCACACACACGAAGTACGAAAAGAAAGCAGGATAACAAAAACCCCTGACAAAATGGCGTCTTGCCCACAACAAGAAACACAAAGAAGCTGGATTAAGGAAGCCATGCTTGTAAATACTTCACTCAGAGACAGTGATCTGCTGAGATACTTTCTTGGTTTGTTTTGGAATCCAAATTCGGATTTCTTTAGTTTCTCCAGTGACCACTTAGGAACAAGAAATAGATTCATGGTATTGTTAGTGATACTGGGATGTGCAGAAAAAAGATGTTATGTTACTGTGGAATATTGCTCCATCTTGATCAGAACTTTTTAAAATTGGGGTCAAGTTGATACGAAACATGAAACAACCAAAAACAACTTGGGATAAAATCTCTGCTTCTAGTCTTTTCTCACCGGCTCAGGGTCCAATCTTTAAATTTAATTGAGATGGTATGAATTGTTTTCAGTCAATTACACTAATTACTTGGCATATCAGAAGTAGAGACCTCATGACACATTCCTGTAACACCAAGAGATTTTCCACATTTAAGTGTTGAAGGATAACTTGAGTTCTTTATGTTTTTGCAGAGGATTTCCAAAAACCAGAAGATAGCAGCTATGACATCAAGGACTGTAAGTTGAACTAACAACATTGATGTATCATGAGTAAAATAAAAATCATTTCATTTAAAGTATTAGTTATAATGCCAAAAGCTATATAATTTAGGAAGGGAGGGATAAAGCTCTACTAATCCTACAATGACATTTCCCTCCTGTGTTGTCAGGCATCAGCCAACCAGATTTTAATCTGAAAATCTTAGAAATATGGTATCTAACCAGATTCTGACTCTGGTAAGAACAACAGTCAACAACAGTCGCCTCAAGGCGCTTTATATTGTACAGTAGATACAGAGAAAAACCCAACAATCATATGACCTGAAAACTGAAGGCTCTGCCTCCCATTCTACTTTTAAATACTCTAGGAACAACAAGTAGGCCTGCAGAGCGAGAGCCAAGTGCTCTAATAGGGTGATATGGTACTACAAGGTCATTAAGATAAGATGGGGCCTGATTATTTAAGACCTTGTATGTGAGGAGCAGGATTTTGAATTCTGGATTTAACAGGAAGCCAAAACAGGAGAAATCTGCTCTCTCTTTCTAGTCCCTGTCAGGACTCTTGCTGCAGCATTTTGGATCAGCTGAAGGCTTTTCAGGGAGTTTCTAGGACTTCCTGATAATAATGAATTACAGTCGTCCAGCCTGGAAGTAATAAATGCATGAACTAGTTTTTCAGCGTCACTCTGAGACAGGATATTTCTAACTTTAGAGATGTTGCACAAATGGAAGAAAGCAGTCTTACATATTTGTTTAATATGTGCATTGAAGGACATGTCCTGGTCAAAAATGACTCCAAGGTTCCTCACAGTGTTACTGGAGGCCAAGGTAATGCCATCCAGAGTAAGAATCTGGTTAGCCACCATACTTCTAAGATTTTAAGGCCGAGTACAATAACCTCAGTTTGATCTGAATGAAGAAGCAGAAAGTATCATGAACCAACAGGTTTGCCCAGGAAAGTGGACCCAAAACCTCAGACAAACATGGGCGTGGAATGCTTGGAGTGATTATTTATTTGAAAAGGTGGCCAAAAGTGACGAGGGGGGCCCAAAAGGCTAGTGGCAGGAACGCGGAAGAGGTCAGAGCGGCGAGGGGATATTCTGTAACAGAGGGAGAGGTAGTTAAAATCGAAAGAGAAAACTAGAGCTTGATAACTAGAAACTGGAGAATAGTTCGCCTTACTGTGCCAGTCATGGTTAGTTTCACTGAGGGGAGGAGAGAGAGGTCTGTGGGAAGCTTCTGGAGGGTCTCAAGCTGAAGCGTGGAGGTTAGAGGGTAGGCGGGCGAGCTGGCTGGGAGACAGGGACTGTCCCAGTAAGGTGAAGCCAGGGTTGAAACTCCGCTGAATGAAGGGAAGACAGGAATTACTCCAACAGATAAATCACACAAGGAAAACCACGAAGGGAAACGTAATTTACCACCAAGAAGAGTAGAACAAACTGGCAAGGAGGGGCCGGTTGAGTCAGCTGAAGTAGGTCTCCCGCTGATTGCTCGCAGCTGAGGCTCACTTGAAGCACTGAAGTCCCTGCCCCAAAGGGATGGCTCAGCAGCCACACAAAAACCCCCTCCTGGCACTCCCACCGACCATGACAAAAAGTTTGTGGCCATCCCAATCTTTATGTCTTATGACATTCTTGACATTTCAGACTTGGAAGTGCTAATTCTCATCCTAACTGTGTCACACCACACTAGTGCAAACTGGAAGTCAGTCCCTTGCAAAATCAACAAAATCAAAAACCAGATAAGATAAAACTTTATTAATCTCTCGGGTGGATTACTCTGGGAAATTCGGTAAGATCAGAGGTAAAATCAGAGATTATACCCTGAGACCATTGATCCCAGCACCTAATAAGTGTGTAGCCCTTGAATGCACCTAAATATTCTGTCCAAAAAATTATCAACAGAATCAGTGACAAAGGACAGTCCGGTGCCAATCTGCGGGGCCAACAACCCTTGGAGAGGAACCTTTTTTTGGGGGGGGGGGGTTCTCTGATAAAAAGGTCCTAATCTCTGGTCCTATGGGTCTTACCCAGCTGCACCCCTGCACCAGCTGGAGTACTAACTACCTAGAAATTGTCCAGGTGTCTTTCCTCGTAACCCTGATAAGATAAACCAAACCTGAATAGCCTTGTAGGTCAAGTCATATCAGTCCCACCTGTTAATGGTAGGTCCCCTATTGACTGAGCCACTTGTAGTTTCTGGGTGTATTTCAGAGGCTCCAAAGCAAGGTTATCATATGTTATAATATAAAGGGCTAGCGTTAACATCCTGTACGTTTCCACTTTTACTTGAGTAAAGAAGTTGTTTCATTTCTTCTACTTAAGTAAATAAAGTTTGTACTTTTGCCACCTCTGCCCAACAAAATCACGGTAGTGCCTTTAAAACATCTGCATGAGCTTATCCTCCTAAATAGAGAGCTGATATGGCTTTTCAACTAATCAAGAAACCATATCGGAAAGTGTAACTGCCAGCGCTATCACTAAGCAATCTGTTTTAAGACAAATTTGTAAATGATTATTTCTCAAGTGATATGATTAACAATTACAAACTATTTAATAGAATGTGACATAAATATGTGTTTCATAATTTTTGAGGCAATTTACATTGTTTTTTGCAGCACGTGAACTCAGGATAATGCTTTTTGGAAAAAGTAATGACAAGAAATCAGCCCTGGAAAAGCTCCTCATTGGGAAAAAAGAGTCTAAAGGTTTTGGAGGAAAACAATCAGGTTCTGCTTCTGGAGAGAGGAACAGGAAACCTCCCACAGTTGTAAAAACTCCCAACATCTTCAGTCTGCCTGTGAATGAGCTGTTTAAAGAGATGAAGAGCTGTGTGAGTCTCTGTCCTCCTGGACCAAATGTTCTGCTGCTGTTAGTCAAACCTTCTGATTTCACCGAAGAGGACATAAAAACTCTGAATTTGGTCCTGAGCTTGTTTGGTCAAGATGC